TAGCAGCAGGTTCCTGATTTGCTTTAGCTCTGCCAAGTAGATTGTTTATAATACTCCACTGTTCTCTTGGGTGGCCTCTGTGGCAGACAAGTTGTTCTTGGAAGTATGTCGACCGTTTCTTTCTAGTTAGGTATTTGCATTGCCTGCGAAGTGCTCTAAACTGTTGTACGAGATCTGACTGGTCTGGGTGTCTGAGCATTGCACGGTGCGCCCGTTTGCGCTTAAACAATAGAAGGCGGAGTTCATCATCCATCCATGGGGCTGGAGCGTATGCTTTCTTGATATTCACACGTTTAACAGGGCAATGCTCGTCTAGTGCACCCTGAACTGCAGTCTGCCAATGTACAATGCGTGTGTTTAGAGACTCTGGCGATGAGGCACTAGCGTGGTGGGACAGGTTGAACATTTTCTCAGTGGCTGTTTCTTGGAAATCTATGATATTCAGAGACCGAACTGGTGGCTTACGTATCTGTATTTGTCTACTCGTCTGGTGTGGCTGAGCATCAGAATGGACGGTGAAATGAACATGAACCAGATTATGGTCTGAAATATCACACGCAATTACAGTCGAACTACTGAAGACAATATCAGTCCCGCTGAGTACTGCAGGTGGTGTGGTGAAAGTGGAGTTGGGTACTAATACTAGATCTATCGTTGTTCCGCTTGGATATCTGGTTGGCGAGGTGACAACATTTCGGAGGTCGAAATCACTACAGAGTGTTTGTAGATGAGAGTAGTGTGTATGATTAGGATCTTGTACATTCACATTGAAATCTCCTAGAACAATAGAGCAGGTGGAGGCTGGTGCACGTCTCAGCGAGTCGTCGATCAAGTCAGTGAGGATCGACCAGAAGCTTACAGGTACCGCTGGCGCTCGGTAAACGCCGAATATGGTCAATGGTTGTTGGCATACATTTATCTGCACAGCAAGAACTTCCACGTCTGAGGAGTGGTGTAATCTCCGATTATCATACTCATCTCTAACATACATGCAGACACCGCCTCCTCTCCCAGTCTGCCTGTCCTGTCTGTGCACGGTGTAGTTCGGTATGTTTATACAGTTATCAGGAACAGTGTCGGTCAACCATGTTTCAGTGAGGGTCAATACATCAATATTATGAGCATGTAGAAGTGATTTGATCTCATGCAATTTATTATAAAGACTACATACATTAATATGAGCAATACTTAGCTTTCGAGTTGTAGCTGTTGATGCTGGTGATAAATGAGCAATACTGATCGTGCTGGTAGACGGTGCAGTAGTGGTAGCCGTAGCAGTTGCAGATCTCTTGTGTGGTGTTGGGGATGCCCGGGCTGTTTCCTATTGGCTCTGTGTGGTCAGGAGGCGGGCAATGTCCTGGGATGTCAAGTGTTTACCGTTCAGTGTAATGGCATCACGTGGAAGGTGGCATTTGACGCCTTTGCTTCTCAGAGCACGGAACTTGGGAACCAGCTCTTTTCGTCTTGCCTGTTCCTGGCGGGTTAAATCGTGCTGAATATAGACGTTCTCGCCTTTGTGCTTGGCCTGCGTTTTGTGGCGCATTAGCTGTGCTTTGGTGGTGGGAGCCCGGCAGCACAGCTCGCACTAGACGAGCTGAAGTGACAAGTCGTGACAGCACCAGTGCTGTTACTGTGTAACTGACCGATGCGCGTCGCAGACAGGATGTCCCCGGGGGCAACTTGCGGAGCCAAGGTGCTGATTATGGCAGGTAGGTCTTCGGAGGGGCTCTCCAAAAGGCCGCGTAGCACGATGTTGTTCACTCTGCTGCTTTTATCCGTGGCTTCAGCCACGAGGTCAAGCAGTGTCGCCTCCGAGGTGCCCTGTATGGCATTTCCAGCTGGATTTGGGCTGACATCGACAACCGCCGAGTTTCATGAATCAACACACCGGAATTTGAGAAATTGAACATACTTCAGGACAGGTTGTACACAAATACGCTTCACGTCTACTATCAAGAGTACATAACCCCCCACACTTGCTACGATCATGTTGCCGCCAAGTCGTGGCACCCCCCTACGGAGGTCGCGGTCACGATTTGAAACGTGGCCGCGACGTTTTGGTCGAGTTCATACCGTTGCCATGCAACTTGGCCGCATGGCCGCATGGAGGGTTTTGGTCGCAGTGTGAGCACACACCATGGTACAAAGCGCTGCGTCTACGTCCACGTTAGGCTGCAACCACACTAGGTGTAGTATCCCTGCTTTACAGTTAACGCATGACTAGTACTTTGCATGACTCTTATAATTACTCTTGTTACTACTTTCGGACAAGTCCTACATCATGTACCTCACATATGATTTGATTACATCAGGAGTACCGCACTTCTAGAAGATCATAGATCTTCCATGCATGCTGCTGTCATCACTTCTACTGTTCTAGTATCACTTCCTTTTAGTTACTAGTTGGTACAGTCATGACTCATGTACATGTATGTCATGTTATTCCGGACTATTCCAGACTTTCCACGTCATATGCCCGATGAGTAATGTTGCTGACTAAATTGCATAATATAGATATCTCATCTTCTGGAATACCTCGCTTAGTCATTATGTTTATGTTACGCAATGCTCACTTCGTCTACATGTATAGCAATGATGCTCTAGGTTTACTTCTCCACTATTCTAGAACTTGTACTAGAAGGATGATTTCGTAATCACTGCAATGGCTTACTAACCTTACTTTCCTATACCGCCGCCTGCTTTGCTATACATACTTTGCTTGCCTATAAAAGCTGCTGTCTTTTCTGCCACCATGAGATTAGCTCAGATTAGATTAGAGCTGAGAGCTGGGAGCAGAGATCGGAGAGATCCGAGAGAGAGAGCAAGTTCACTTTCACTTTGATCTAAGATAACCTCCAGGCCGTGCCGGAGTAAGTTCTGATACGTTACTGTAGTTGACTGACTGTGGGTAGTAGCCTCCTAGCCTCGCCGACGCACGTTACACTAGGTACAAAACTGCGTAAACGCAACTTTTCTGCTTATGTCGTCAAGGAAACGCGTGCGAAACGCAAAACGTACTGCGTTTCGTTTCAGCAAACCGGGTACCCCTGTAGAAAGCAACTTTTCGCCTTTTCCTTGCGTTTCGCTCGGATTACGGGTAGATGTTTCTTAGAATTCTTGGTGAGGCTTGCACTGTGTCAGTAGTAGACGGCTTCCTTGTCAGTTTGTAGTATTTGAGATTTCATCTGCCAGGGCTTTGCTTTCAGTATAATTTCCGGACAGTCCTGTTGCCTGCTGCTGTTAGTTCGAGATGCCGCGCAACTACAAATTTTAAGTAGAATGTACATTGTATTTCGCTGATAATCTCGAGCTGAGAAGCTCATGCAGCTTGGGTCAGCGTACCAGAAGACGAAGCAGGGCCAGATGACAGCCTGGAGCGGACCATCCGAGAGAAGGAGATGACCGAGGCCTTGAACCATGTGAACGTGTATGTCAAGGCGCTCGCGACTCTTTTTCAAACTAGTACTGAGTACATGTACATGTAGTACAGTCATGTACATACATTTTCACAGCGCGATTTTTCTGGGACCCAGAAATGTAGACAAAACGCAAGGATTCCTTGCGCATGAAATGGCAGTGTGGATGCGACTTTGCGTTATCTAAAAGCTAAACGCAAACGCGTACTTGATTTTGTACGTAGTGTGGTTGCAGCCTAAGGAGTTTTTGGTCGGTTGTCATGATGATCCGTATACGGGGTGAAAACGGGAGCAGAGGAAACGGGAGACGTGGACGTGGTATGGAGAGGGGGGGGTATACGACTTTTTGTATGAACGTGCGTATCTCCCCCAGTCTTTTTCCGAGCGACCCTGTACTTCGATGTACGTGGGTTCAAATTTCTCCAAAAACCTGACTGCGTGTACGCGTCAAGAACTGTGCCTGTCTGATGACACGACCACCCGTTTTGGTTTTTTCACCATAGACGTAGACGTAAACGGGAGTCGGAGAACGTGGTGTGATGACGGCCTTACTCGATTGTGCATGATCGCGTCCCATTTTTCCACTCCGAAAGGCATTATTTTTCAGAAAAAAATTCGGAAATCCAACATGGCGCTAACCGTCGCGAACGTCGTCTCACCTGGCTTCAGAAAATGTAACTGTTACGAGAGATAGGAGAATCTCCAGCAGGCAGCGCATCCATCTTCAGGAAGTGGAAAGAGCAAACGGCATGGTCCTTGGTTGAGGTAAATGCTGAACGTTTGATTTGTCCCAACCAAGATTTCAGCACTTGGTTCGTCACGATTTTCGCTTGCCAGCTAACGTCTCCGCACTCTAGCTTTCCCCTGTCGGTGTCACGTCCCAGTACACAACGGAGAGGACTACTAATATACAGTTCACGGCACTAACAGCATTGAACACAGTACTTCTTTCACTTCGTGAATACAAGAAGACAGCTGAAAATGACACAATTCTGCAGTGATCATGGTGATCGACCTTCTCTCTCACGGAGCTAAGCAGAATGTGCGTCATCACCTGTAGTCGCCATGGAAACGGGATCAGGAAATCGGCGATATGGCAAGTAATAGTTAGTTTCCCTTGCCGTACGCAAGCGAGAGATATACCATCGGAACCGATATCCAATTGTCTTTCATCTGAGCCCGACTTGAAAAATCGATGCACTTCCCCTTTACCACTCCCTGGTACAACGGCCTCCCAGTCCCACTACACCCTCATTATCAGACCACCGGCCACATTCGACCAGGTTTACACCAGGGAGCTGGAGTTGAGCAACCCCTGAACCCTTCAATGCGACAACGGTTTCAGCGTTTTTGAGCAGGAAAATGGTAGATCTACCATTATCTACTCCATGGTTTTGAGGCGAAAACAATAGAAAATTGGGACGAACTCGCGCTAAAAGAAGAAACAGGTTTCCATGGTTTCCAAAAATAGACTGTGGTTTTTTTGCCAAAAAAGGCTCGATCAAGTTCGCGCGATTTTCAGTAAGCACAGTCGCAATGGTCACGCGCATGCTCGGAATTGAGGCAAGAGCCGTGTTTGAAAAAACAACGATTTGCGGCTTCTTGTTCCAAATCGCTCAGCTGTTCGTGGAACTGTGGAGTGTTCCTTTCTGGCATTGTGTGTGTCTTGTTTGTGCGTCCGAATGGGCGTTTGACATAATGTCGGTATCAGCAGAGAATTTGTCTCTGGAGGACTTCCTCGATGAAGTGGGCAAAGGAGGTGGCGAGTCGGCCGCGCCGCCGGCGGCGGATGCCAAGAACTTGTCAGTTTTGATGTCTTCCCTCGCCTTAGGCAAAAATGATCAGGAGTACTTTGGAGCAGAGGATATTGCTGACTTGCGTGGTATTGTTGATGAGTATGAAGGAGAAGATGAGGATACCATATCGGAAGCCTCGGAGGTGTCCTCCCAGTTTGGAGAGGCTATGGCATATGTGTCGATATTTGACACTCTGACAAGAAGTCCGGATGAACGCCGAGTGGAGGATGTGGAAACTGTTTTGGAGTATACGCAGCACTTACCAGCCTTCGCCAACCTCACCCTGTCGGTGAAGCGTAAGCTATGCTGGGTGATGGAGCTGCAGACATTCCGTGATGTTCAGTCGCCAGTCATTCGTAGTGGTGAAGAGGTGGACTCATGGTGGGTAGTGTTTGGAGGATCAGTGGAAGTAAACAAGGATGGTGATACGCAACGCCTGCACCTGGGTGAATGCTTTGGTGCAGCGCGTGGCTCCCAGAAGAAGAAGATCCTACAAATAGGCACCATCACGACATGCCACCCGGACACGATACTGCTGCGCGTGCCGGCCGCAAAGTATTACGAGATCCTGTCCAAATCCGAGCAGAGCTCCGTCAAGGTGGAGGAGGACGGCAAAGTAGTACTGGTCAAAGAGTTCTCAGAGGAAACGTGCACGCACGTTGCCGTGCGTGCCACACCGGACCTGCTGCTCTGTCGCCTGCTGGAAGAGGAGGAGCACCCTCTTTACGCCGAGGATTTCCTGCTCGGCCACCGCACGTTCATTCCGGGCGAGACGGTTGCGGAGCACCTGTGCAAATGGTTCATGGAGGTGCCAGAGTGCCGTGATCGTGTGGCGCGCATCTTCTTGCTCTGGGTCAACAACCACATTGATGACTTCGACGGCAAGGACGGTATGCTGGCGCTGATCGAGAAGTTCCGCAACCAGCTGCAGGACGTGGGCATGAAGGGCCAGTTTCAGCTGCTCAACATGGCGTGTCAAGTGCGGCCAGCACTGCTTGGCACCAACAGCACCGTCACGCCGACCATCTCCCCGATGTCGATGCGGCACAGCATCAGCGAGATCGACGTCATGTCCGTCAGCCCGCCGCAGGAACGCGCGTCGGGCCACCGGCAGTCTCTGCGTCTCATGAAGCTGCCGTTCGGCAAGAACCGCAAGGTGGACCGCGGCCAGATGAAGAAGCGCAGTCCCAGTCCGCTGGTGCGGACAAACAGCAACACCAGCATCGAAGAGGGAACGCGTAGCAGCTGTCCGTCGATCAGCGTCTCTGGACCCGGCACTGGTGCAGGCCTAGGCACAAGCCAAATGCTACCATCGGAAGCCGGCGTGACACTCAAAGTGTTCAAGCCTGACCATTCGTATCGTTTTGTCACCGTCGTTTCAGAAACCACCGCCGAGCAGCTGATCCGCGCCGCCCTGAAGCAGTTTGACATCCACGAGGAGACGTCGAATTACTCCCTGTGTCGGATATCGGTGTCGCCCGAAGGCTTAGTGAAGCAGACTCGGTTACCGGACGCGTTCCACAGCTTACCGTCACATCTGACTCTAACATCGCGCTACTACATTAAAAACAACGTCACCACTAACAGCCTTGTGCACGGCGACGAGCTGCTGATGGAGGTACTCGCCGAAGGTGCCACGGATTTCCTGTCACTCGACCCGAGGGATATTGCACGTGCCGTTACTCTGCAGGACTTTGCCGTGTACCGACAAATCACGCCGGTCGAGTACTTTGAAGATCTGTGGGGCCTGGAGAAGAGCTCGCCCAATGACGGCCTGATGCGCTTCTCGGAGACGACCAATCATGAGATGTTCTGGGTGGTCAACGAGGTCCTCAATGAGCCCAACCCGGCACAGCGCGTGCGCGTCATCAAGCACTTCCTGAAGATCGCCAAGCTCTGCCGAAAGGTGTTCAACTTCAACACGATGTTTGCCATCATCAGCGGCCTGTCGTATGGCGCAGTGGGCAAGCTCAGGACGACGTGGGCCAAGGTTGGCCAGCGACACCTGAAAACAGTTGCTGAACTGCAGGAGCTGATGAATCCGTCTCGCAACATGTTCAATTATCGCCGGCTGCTCAAGGGTGCTAAGCCGCCGATCATTCCATTCTTCCCCGTCGTCAAGAAGGACATTACGTTCCTCTATCTTGGCAACGACAATAAAATCGACGGACTCATCAACTTCGAGAAGCTGCGCATGGTGTCACATGACATCCGGGCGTTCGCCGAATTCCACAGCGCCAACTACAACCACGACACCCTGCTCTCGCTGACTTCACAGCAGAACCGTGGCAAGGCGGCGTTCTACGACCAGTGGATGATCGAACGTCGGGTCAGCCACTACCTTGCTAACCTGGAAGTGAACACAAATGAAGCTGAGCTCAAGGAACGAGCTATGGAGCTGGAGGAGCAGCATCTTCAGATTGTTGCAGGAAAAGCGCAAGCACCTCCTCCAACCACTAGTCTGCGGCGTCCGAGTGTCTTCACTAGGCCAGAGTAAGTCGCCTATTGTCTGTGTCTGTTCTGCTTGTCCGCTCACAACCCGCCACCCCTCCCATGGGCCTTGTACATACCGTCCGTCCTGGTGACAGTGCGATTCAGTTGCCCTCCGTTGCTTGCTGTCCTGCTGTCCTCTATCCGCTACTCTTTCTCCGTGTGCGTGTGTGACTTGCCGGAGCCACCGCGCTTCATGTCCGTTCTCGCTGTCGTACCATAGCTTCGCCGCGTGTCGCCATTGCTCGTGTGTATGAGTGTATGCCCATAGTAGTCGCGCTGTCCATATTCTGACTAGTTCCGGCTGCATATATAGCCCTATCGTGTTTTGTGTGGTCTATCTCAGTGCAGAGAACTTTAGCCCCTGTTTTGTTCCGTAGTTCCGTGTCAGTGTTCTTCGTTGTCCGCATGCTGGTATGCAACCTTAGTGAACCCTTAGCTGGGAGACGCCATAAGAGACCATAACAATTTCATTCTGCGTACGGGCAAACGGCGACGACGCTTTTGAGTTCTGTTCCATTTTTACGTCACCTCAGAATGATCTTCTTGTACATAAACATGCAAATAATAATTTAGTATATTTTTCTTGTATCGGTGCGTACCTTCTCTCCCCTCTCACCCCTTAGCTTTTTCTATGTGCCGAAAATAGAAACTCCGCCGCCAACACGCCAACACTTGCCCATTACGAAACATATGTTTAAATTTGACCGATTTTTTTAATTCTGGTCTAAATGCTTGACGACAATCTTACGTTCATAGTATGTCATTGTGACCATTTTGATGATTATTTTATTAGATCTGGATATGCTATTCTGGAGCACTGTCTCCTGCATTTATATTTTCTCCTTTTTGGCCGGTGGGGCTTTCCTTATTTGGAATTGGCCTTTGATCGGTGAAGTAATACCATTGCTTATGCTGTGATAGCATTCCGGCTGGGGTGGTTTAGTCTGCTGCAAGCATTGTGGATGCTGCAGCTTGTCTGGGAGGAATCCCAAACATATTTGCGTGCGCCTGTGTGTGTGCTGCATCTCTCTCAGTCTCGTACTGTCTCTGTCTCTCTCTCTCTCTCTCTCTCTCTCTCTCTCTCTCTCTCTCTCTCTCTCTCTCTCTCTCTCTCTCTCTCTCTCTCTCTCTCTCTCTCTCTCTCTCTCTCTCTCTCTCTGCCTATCCGAGACAAGTATCATCAAGGGTATATAACCCCCCAAGAGTGTGCAACTCCTGATACCCTTTCTATTGGGTACGCCGGCAGCGAAAACTCACATCACGTGGTGCAGGGTCGCAGTTGTACGTTTCCAGCCCGTTTTTAATGAGCAGCGGAGTACTAAAAAAGCACTCTCTGACAGAAACTCACTGCGCGTATGCAAATCCCCAGCATGATCATAGCAGATTTTCGGATTGTGCGCACGCTATCCTACGTTTGTACGTTGTACAAAAGTATCTGAGACACGTGATGTGAGTTTTCGCCGTCGGGCCGAGTTCCACACTCTTGGGGGGTTATATATACTCTTGGTATCATGTTTAGCCGGTCTCACCCTAGGCCCTGGCCCTATTATTTTACTGAAACGAATCTAACAATTATTTTCCTGCTAGACCAAAACCAATTGTAAAGTGGATTGTTATTATGCTGTCCCCGGGGAAAATTGCAATTCCGCGGCCGCGTTTTTTGCGATTTTTTAAAAGACCGCATTTTCCGCGATTTTCCCGCGTTTTTTGAAGTTTTTTGTTGCACTACACGTACACACAGTGCACTGTTCGGTCAGCAACGTCTCATCGTGGCGGCTTTTTACTCACATATGACGAGTGCTTACACCAGAGACTTGTAACTGATTGATTTCACTACATACTCACTGAAAATTGCCGCACATCAATATTATTCACCGCATATTTACCGCAAATTCACCGCAAATTATGCCATATTATGCCGCGTTTTTCCCCGCGTTTTTTTGCGATTTTTTTCCGCAATTTTCCCCGGGGACAGATTATGTATGAAATCATTTGGTCATCCCTACACAACATCATCCTTGTCCAGTATTCGGATATTTCTTGGTTTGATGCGGGTGCGCCAATGATAATTGACCCTGGATGGAATTCCGCTTTGGCAGCCTGATCATGAAGTCAACTTTCAGTAAAATGTTTTGGATTTCTTTTTTTGGCCCAGGATTTCAAAACATGCAAAAAAACAATGCTCTCTAGACGGAGCCATATCTGGCCTGGGAAAGAGTCCCCCAGACCGATGTTCACTCCTCAGGCCAATCACGAAAAGTGAGCTGGTTTGTAAAGCCGTGTGTCTACTACTGCAGGCATTCCGGAGCACAAGTCAATCAAAAAGGCACGCAAAGAAAGCTCCGCCGAAACAGCCGTCTCTATTGCTGACCAGCAGATAAAACAGCAAAACTACAAGCACAGTGCACGCAGTGCACCTATCAGTAACATTCACAAGGACATCAGCAGTAAGCAGAGCAACAGCTGGCAAAAAAATGAGCCAGCCAGCCGGCCAGGCAATACACGGATCAGATGGGCCCCCACTGGGCAGCTGCAAGCACTGTTCCTAAACACGCTAAAAAAAAGGAAGAGAAATAGAATTTCTACTGGCAACAAACAAAGTACGGGTACATTGATATGTCAAATTCGGTTGAAAGAACGCTAAAGCGGAAACATTTCGGCCAGGCTAGGGTGCAGCGCAAGGCTTCACATTAAAAACTCGTAACAGAACGCCTGCAGCACGAGGGAAAAATCGCAAACGCCATGGTCGACCTCGCAAATATGACAAGAAGAATAGGAAGACAATGAAATGACTAGCCTAGCCGTGTCGATAAGCAGGCTGCATCCAGGGGCCACTCAGCACCTGGATACAGGCTACAGACAACAACAGCAACAGAGCCAGAGCCCGGGACACTAAGGAGCATGAACTCTGGTAGCAAATTCACCCCCGCTACAACGGCAAGGGGACACAAGCAGGATAGCGGACAATAATCTCCAAAATTTGACTCAGCTGGCATTCGATGACGTGTTAGACGCAGCATGCAAGGGCAACACGATGGATGGGTGCAATACATGCACAGGCAAACAGGACAGGTATACAGATTTCACGCAGCCGCTGAGCCCGCAGCAGGATCTTGTTCCCCTTCGCTCCCCCGAATTCGAGTTTAAGATCCAGTGCAAACCTTCCACTGCATGATGCTTGTGTCCTTGCCACCCGTTGAGAGCAGCGAGCGGTCGTCGTGGATGAAGCGAACGCAAGTCACATGCGAGCTGTGGCCATGCGCTGCGCGAGACTCAGACTGCACACACAGGAAGCCGACAACAAAGCAGCACAACGAGCGAGACGTGCACATGAGTAATAGAACAGCCTACAACAAGCGGAGATGCTACAGGCAGCTTCCATTAGAATTACATATACGGCCAGAACTTGCACAGGTAAGCAAAGATACTCTGTGTAGGAACAAAGTGGCTAGCCACACGCACAGATACTCTGTGTAGGAGCAAAGTGGCTAGCCATAAATAGGTTAGTGCATGGCAGGGAGGGCCTTATGGCTTGTTAGTACCCTGAAGGGCACAAACAAGCCATAAGACCCTCCCTGCCATGCACTAACTATTTTAGAACGAGGTTACGTGCATTACTGTATAGCAGGAAATTTTCGGACGGAAGTATTTTCGGACAAAGCCGAATTTCGACCTTTCGCACGGATTCTATTTTCGTACAGTGCTGCACGCTAAATACACGCGTTTGCAAGCAGAACACATGTATAGTGTACAAAATTTCACATGAACAAATTTTAGCACGGAATTAATTTTAGTACAAAAGAGGCCGCGTACGAAATCGTACGAAAATAAATTCCGTCCGAAAATTTCCTGCTATACAGTATCTCACTTCCATTATGCTTTTGTACCATTATATTGGGTAGTTTTGTGGTTTGTGTGTAGAGAGACTTGATGTGGTATGAAAGAATATTTTCTTCTGGTAAGTTATGGTAATTCAGCACCACTTAGGACTACTAAAAGTAGAAGGGAAGCAAATGAAATGCTGGGCTCTTATTGCGAGCTTCATTCTTATTCTTAGCTTGTGGAGCTATTTAGGGGCTTTGAGAGCCCCTTGTCGATACCTCTAATGACTTTGATCTTCGGTTTTTATAGGTTTCCTCCAGCTGTTGACAAAGGAAAATTGTATAGATGAAAGAATACGGCAGGCAAAACCGTACACACTTCTCAAATGCGTAGCTTTTAGTAGTACACCGTACATTTTGTGCAGAGTTCATTATCTGCACCGTACTATAATGCATACAGGGAGTTGTACGCACCCGTTTAGAGTATATTCAGCGGGCTTTAAACTAATCCAAGGCCCTTGACGCGTCATCAAGAGTAGTAAAATTACGATTGAGCGGGCTTTAAACTCTGATAAGGTCCTTGGCGGGAATGTCGCTGATTGGTCGTTTCCTGGACAACGAGACAGACCTCGTTCTAAACACAGATACTCTGTGTAGGAGCAAAGTAGCTAGCCATAAGCACAGATACTCTGTGTAGGAGCAAAGTAGCTAGCCATAAGCACAGACTCTCTGTGTAGGAGCAAAGTGGCTAGCCATAAACACAGATACTCTGTGTAGGAGCAAAGTAGCTAGCCACACGCACAGATATTCTGTGTAGGAGCAAAGTAGCTAGCCATAAACACAGATACTCTGTGTAGGAGCAAAGTGGCAAGCCATGAACACGTTGCAGTACACTCTAATTGCATGGGTTAGCTCAGACAATCTGGACACATGTACTAAGATGTGGCCAGGACACCAGATATGCCAGGCATTGGTGCACTGTGGCTGGTCTAATCTCCAGCACTGTCTAGGAGCTACAGTGCTGCTCAATGAAATCCGATCGAGTGAGTCCGCCCTGCGCCCTGCTCCAGTGAACATCCCGGTGTTCGCAGGTCTAGGGCTGCACAGCGGCCGGAGAGTACCTGACGCACGCGATCGGATTTCATTCAGCAGCACTGTACGACACCTTCCTCAGGGTGTGCAGACTCTACTGTAGCCACTAGTCGTATCTCTCACACAAGTATTCACCTCACAAAATGGTCTCTCGGCTACAATGCTTTCAAATAAAAAAATCCAAAGTTTCGGGCCACGCCAGGCCCATCTTCAACACTGTACAAAAGAAAGGAAATGTTTTGAAGACACGGCATAGTCATGTACCTTTGCCTGTGGTGCAGGGAAGCGGAACAGGTTGACCTTGCCAAAGTCATCGCCCGTCGCCACCAGACTGGAGCCGTTGTTCCGCCCGACGGTGTTGATGTCTGTACCGTCTGCACCCTCAGGCCAAATACCTGTCGCATCGTAAAAGGGTAGAGGACCCGATAAGGGACTAAAACATACAGCCAGACTGCACTCGAGTCAATCCAATCATAAATTGCCTACACTAGTACTGCAAGACCGCAATATGCAGATGACACGTAGATCAAGACCCTACGTTCTTGGAAATCGTCGCAGTCCTATATATTTGCTCACAGAACAGTGACAATTTTATCGAACTGGAGGAAGTACTTTCAAAGGTGTGCATATCAGTGGATAGACAGTCCACTACGGTGTGGTGCACTGCACTCTAGCTGCACATGTGTAGGTCAAAGCAGTGCTAATACTGTACCAACCTGCCACATCGAAGCCCAAGATGGTGGTGTACGTGGCCCACTCGGCGTCACGCAGTGCTACGGCTGATGTTGCTTGCTTGCACGTATTGGCATCCCCTGCGAGGACGAAAGAGGGAGGGAGGGATAGACATTATTAGATAGATAGATAGAGAGAGAGAGAGAGAGAGAGAGAGAGAGAGAGAGAGAGGAGAGAGAGAGAGAGAGAGAGAGAGAGAGAGAGAGAGAGAGAGAGAGAGAGAGAGAGATAGATAGAGAGAGAGAGAGAAAGAGAGAGAGAGAGAGAGAGAAAGAGAGAGAGAGAGAGAGAGAGAGAGAGAGAGAAAGAGAGAGAAAGAGAGAGAAGAGAGAGAGAGAGAGAGAGAGAGAGAGAGAGAGAGAGAGAGAGAGAGAGAGAGAGAGAGAGAGAGAGAGAGAGAGAGATAGGCAGACAGTGCATGTGCAATGAGTACTAGAGATATCACTGGGAAAGGAGGCCCGCATGCAAGACAAACAGACACCAACACTGAAGGAACTGAAAAGCTATGGAGAGACTCACAAAAGAGAAGTTCATAATCGCCAGAGCAACTCTTCAGGTTCTGACTATCCGCTGACCAATCGACATGAGTGATGAAGCTGCTGTGGCCCTGGAGAGAACGGAATATAGGTGAACATACAATACAATGTAACATACATACATACAGATATGCACAAGCAAGTGAACAGAAGCATATGTACGCACGTGCGGACACGCACACACACACCCACGCACCCCCCCCCCCCCACACACACACAAACGCAATCGTACATGCAGGGTAAAACGTTGATGAGAATCACTCGAATCACAGGCAGATAGACCTGCATTGTACACTAACTACATTGTACACTACAATAGTGTGGAGTGTTCAGCCCTCTTTGCTGGTGAAAAGCAACTCCTTGATAGCATAGAGTATAGAGTAAGAGTGTAAAGTACACAACTAGAACATGTATATCATGCCTGCGTACAGCACAACGCCCATGGCGCTCGAAGGTGCGCCGATCCTCACTGACGTTGTACACGTAGATGTAATTGTCATGAGAGCCCAACGCCACTTTCTTGCCATCTGTCACACAAAGAAGTACGCAAACATGAACAACACACACACATAGATGTACATGTGTTGTAGTACAGTCAGACCTCGCTTAACCGCACACATCCGTTTTCCCAAAAAATATCCGGATAGGCGAGGGAACCGGATAACCGAACACCGTTTATGTTGGATGCATCACGTATGCTGTAAATATGTAACCAGCTTTTTTCTTCCGGATGGCGAGGGATCCGGATAAACGAGGACCGGATAAGCGAGGTCTGACTGTACGTTATTTTGTGTACGTCGTGTTGGTGCATGCGCGTGTTGCTGTGGTGTGAAAAGCAGTCTTCGTCTTGAGTTCGGCATGTCTAGTTGTGTTTCCGTAGTCGTCTTGCAATAAACAGTCTTTCAAATGTAGTTATTGTCGTCCCTTTGTATAAGTGTGGAGATGGCACGGGGCTGGGAGCAGGTGGAGAAAAGGCAGTTACAACATATGTGCATTACCTATGTCAACCACGCCCACACGCGTACACACACGCACGCACGCACAAACACACGCACACACACGCACATGTGGTCATGCAGCCTACATAACGTCCACGCTTATGCACAAGGGTGCACATGTACACTCGGCTTGGTTATTCGTGAATTCCAATCCATTGCTCAAGAAAATAGCTGTGTGGTAAAGTAGTCTATAGCAACATTCACGCTGAATTACATGTGACTCAAGAGGCGTGCATGTGTGCCAGGGTGTGCCCACGTGCGTGTGTGCGGGTGTGTGTGGTGGTGGTGGTGGTGGTGGTGGTGGTGGTGGGGGGGGGGGGGGGGGGGAGGAGAGGAATACAAATTTCACACGACGACACTAACCGGGAGAGAACTTGACGCTGTCGTGCTGCTCATTGCCGTCGACATTGCTGGTGATGAACTTGCCATCCTTGCCATCAAACACCATCCAGCTGAGAAGCGCAAGTAGGAGAGCGCATGCACATACCCACATGCACATACACACACAAGCACAGTCATGCACATGTACACACATACAGACAAGCAAACAGGCACACATACAGACAGACGACCATTAGCACCACTTACACGATTCAATGCATGTGCTCACGACTGGTATTTGCACGGGAGTTGAGGTTTTCACCCTTAGGGAAAACAGTGTGAATGTTGCTCCGAGCAACTTTGAACTTTAAACTGGCCAGGAGAACTCAGTCAGTGGACGTGGCCATGTTACGGTACCCGTCTATGCTGATGTGCTGAACAGGCGTGGCATTATGCTAACGGACAATATCCACCATGCAAACACATACAAACAGAAAGGTTCTGGACAGCCCAAAGGCATACAAGAACTATTATCTGATACAGTTGTCCCTCTCTAATCCGGCACTTGTTTATCCAGCACCCTTGCAAACCAGCACACTTTCTGGCAAAACGGATTTTTTCAGTTCATTTTCTACGCTTTAAAGGGGAAGTTAAGGCAAAAATTAAAATTTCACCAGTTGTAGTCTTCGGGGTGCTGAGTCGAATGGTCGTGGTCCGAGGAAGCTGAGACGCTCCCTTCCTACTTGAATCCCAATCGAACTCGCGCACTTCCACCGAAACTGGGTGACTGCGCCCTACTAGATGGGGATTTGTATGCAAAATGTCACTAAAAGCACCATTTCGTTCTTATAAAAGCACGGATGACCGCGATTGGCCCATATGTTGTAGTCTTTTGGACGCTGAGTCGACTGGTTTTGGTCCGAAAAGGCTGCGATGCGGCGTTCCTCCTTTATTCCCAATCGAACATGGTTGAAGAAGCGGTCACGTGCTCCTGCGTACACCAGTCAGCTGGTCACCGTGCCTGCAGGGTACAACTTACTAGCCTGTTTGACCTTTTTTGGGTGCAGTCCTGTCACTCGAGTTGAACTCGAGTTGAACCTTGGTGTGAAAGTTGTCACCTGCTGGCGTGGTGACCAGGTGATTTGGGCACCCAGGACCACGTGACCGCTTCTTAAACCATGTTCGATTGGGAATAAAGGAGGAACGCTGCATCACAGCCTTTTCGGACCAAAACCAGTCGACTCAGCGTCCAAAAGACTACAACATATGGGCCAATCGCGGTCATCCGTGCTTTTATAAGAACGAAACGGCGCTTTTAGTGACATTTTGCATACAAATCCCCATCTAGTAGGGCGCAGTCACCCAGTTTCGGTGGAAGTGCGCGAGTTCGATTGGGATTCAAGTAGGAAGGGAGCGTCTCAGCTTCCTCGGACCAAGACCATTCGACTCAGCACCCCGAAGACTACAACTGGTGAAATTTTAATTTTTGCCTTAACTTCCCCTTTAATCCGGCGCTTGAATTCCGCCTCCAGCAGCGATTTTCTGCAACAAATCACTCAAACTGTACATAATTCGATTTTCTAATCCAGCAGTTGTACATCGCATACCGTCAGGGAGCATTGTAACATACACAACACATGTAACATACACTTGGGAATATCCTATGCCAGTGCACAGGATATTCCCAAGTGTATGTTAAAGACATGCATTCCACAAAGTACTTGGATTGACACAGAAAATCCCTACGTTTTGACGTACGACACAAACATGTATGTTAACAGGTGGGCCGGGTTGGAGGGCAGGATTTGATAATCCAGCACCCTTGTTTATCCAGCAGAATATGCCGTTGCAAAAGGTGCCGGATTAGAGAGGGACGACTGTAATCGCCCAGTGGGTGACGTGCTCAAAGCTTAGCTATCCAGTAGACACAGCCCTTGATGCCACCTGTCTTACCGGCCACTCTTCAGTCCTACCACCACGATTGAACCGTCCGGGTGGATATCCGCAGACTGAGCCTCCTCCTGATATGGGCAGGTCCACACAAAACAGAGAGAACAGCAGCAGCAGGACATAATATCAAAGCCAAAACCCCGATGACTTGGAACTGCGGAGTAAATCAGTACAAACGCACCAGCACACAATACCTTCAGTGTCTGTCATGAGCGCTAAAGCAATACCGGATGTGCTCGGAAATGATCGCAGAAATCCACTTCAAATATATACGGACAAAATTAAAAAATGATGGTGTACTTCACAGTGGAGTAATCGGTCGCTATGTACAAGTACTGAGAATTGCATCCCTGCGACAAGCAGGCGATCCACCAAAAGCAAATACAGTGCGTATCGGTTATAGTGTGGTCGTATACAGGAATATACTGCTTACAAGAATGAACACTCTTTTTTTCATAATCATAACACATATTTTATGTGTATATTTATTCTTACAAGCAGTATTATCGCATAGTAGAATATATCGGCCCTAAGAATGGATTTTGTGTAGCAAAATATGCCAGATTAGCGCAAAGTGTATCGCCTGTAGTAATAACATCTGTGCTCTGTGCATACTCAATACAATAATTCAACACAAAAAGAGAGTTATGTCCAAGGGAGCATTGGAGAATCACTTTTTCTGTCCAGTCGGGCTCTTTCTTTCGACTTCTCTCGTATCCGCTGCTCCGCAGTCGCCTAGCACGACCGCGAGTCTGATTGATCCGTGTGTACGTGTCCACATGCCAAACGTGCGCGCATTATGTCACACGTGATTTATCGTGTGTAAGAAATATCGGCAATAAGAATCAAATGTCGTTTTTCAAACACCCACGCTATAACCGATACCTCCTGTACGTGCAAATGTATATTCAGCACCGCGTCATCGCGCAAGCAGGGCATGACACGCATGCACTGAACAAAGCAGGAGAAGCAATGGTCACAAGCCGGCAAGTGAGTTTAAAAAATCTCCCTCTCCCTCGAATTCAGGCTTCAAAGCCCAAACAAAATCCCCCCTCTCCCTCCAATCCAGGCTTTAACCCTTTCACGGTCTCAGAATCCAGTCAAAATGAGGCTATTTACAGAATTCAACAATTTCGTACCTTGATTCATCCATAACTTCAGTTTCCCTTCGCTGATTTTCGTGATCTTGGGCTCTCTGGAAAGCTCTGGACAAGAGCAACACGCCGAGCTACAATTCGACACCAAGGGTGCCGTGGATCCAGCGCTGCAGCGCAGCGACATCGCCCCAGTGCTTGATTCACGACGAGAAACAAGATTCAACAGCCATTTCCCTCTCCTTGCTCACACCGAGCTCATATTTTTTGTCAGGAGTGCTGCGAGTCCATACTCTTATTTGAATCCGTGTCTCTATGGCGACAGCTAGCTGCAAAGGGAAAAACCCGTCCTCAAGACCCAGCTCGCCCACTCAAATCGTAAATGAGCCGTGACGCAGATCGCGAGCTTTGTAGCATCGCAGTCGTTCACTATATCGCTTTGGCGATTGTTCCTACGGATAGCCTGGAGCTTTCTCTTCAACCCAGATATTTAGATGTTCGAATTTGCTCAAAAATCGACTGAGTTACGATAGTTTGAAAAATCGATCACCGGTGATCGATTTTCAAATGTGAGACCGTAAAAGGGTTAAAGCCCGAAGCAGCTGCTACCTACAGCGATCGCTGTCGTCCACAGGCACTCGTGGGTGTCTGAGTTCCAGCATGTCAAGGTCTTGTCGTAGCCAGCAGAGATGAACAGGTTCTCCGATGGGTGCACGGCCAGTCCCCACAGTTCATCGCTATGCCCCTGCAGTCAAGAACAGGCACAAAGATAATCATTGGACGCAAGAACGCGGGTGGGCGTGCATGCGTGCGCGTGCGTGTATGTTCATGTGTGCATGTGTGTGTGTGTGCGCGCGCGCACACGCACACATGTGCGCGTGTGTGTGTGTGAGATATAAATAGATAGAAAGGGATAGATTGGGAGAGGTTGTGTTATTCCGGGCCACAAACAGCGCATTCACTTACATTGATCACGGTAGCAAAACCCTCGCCGAGAGAACCCTTCAGGATGCCGTTGCGTGTGGTGCCAATGTACAGCTGTCCCTCCTCCTCACCAGGCACAATGGTGCGCACAGCTCCCGACGCCTCAGGGAGCTGATAACCGAACAGGAGCAGAGGAAAAAGCACAGGCACAAGAAACAGTGAGACTACAGTCCACCTCCCCAACAGAAGAACAGACTCCACTATAGTCAGGCAGGAGAGAGCTCAGCACACATGTACATGTACATATGCACACACGCGCATGCATATATGCACCCCTCCCCCACACCCAGACACATATGCACACACATATGCACACCCACACCCACACACACGTGCACGCGAGCGCGCGCACACACACACACACACACACACACACACACAGGTACACACACAGGTAGCAAGCCGAGAGCCAGCCAGAATAGAAAGAACCCTACTTTAAAACGAATCATTATCAGTATAAAGACATCAGCGAGCTGACACGACACAGGTGGGCTAACTCACCGAACCCGAGTCACCAGTCTGCTCTAGGTCAGCATTCCAGGCGATGACACGTTGATCCTTACCACCTGTCAGCAGTCTGCCGTCGGGAAGACTGGTAGCGGAGAACACACCACCCTGTACAGTAGTCGAGTCAGTCAGCATGGTTGTGAAGAAGCAGGACGTGTAGAAACACACACACACACGTACAGATACACAGATGCACAAGTACAGAGACACACGCATACAGCGACACACGAACACATGTACACAGACACGCATAAACAGACACATGGGCACAGGCACACAGACACAAATTGTCATTTCGGAGAGGAATAGACTCGCTCGATGTACATGTAGGTGGTTAACACAATAATTCAAGTGAGCTTTGAAATTTGCAATCCCCTCATCATGCCATATAGGAATGTACATACACTCACAGTACGGGAGGGGGGGGGGGGGATGCAGACGGGCATTCCTGTCCAATAAGCCGCCTACGGACACGCATGCGGAGCACACAGTAGTGACGTCTCATGCACGGAGCACCTGCTGAGACCGGTGTCGACGTGGGGAGTACAAGCAACTAGATCACATGCTCGATTTCCCACTCTGAGCTAAGATCAACCACTCAGCATTACAACAAGGCACACCATCATCGTCGTCATGGTCACAACGGTCGCTGTCGTAGAAACCAGGAGTTTCCGCGCAGCGCACGCCAACACAAGCCGAAACACAAACCGATTCCGGCACAGCTACCGAGCAATACTGACCTCGTGCACATCCTTGATAGCTCTGGCGATCTTGTGATTTGCTATACATGTGTACCCGTAGCAGAAGAAACACAAACATGGCGGCATCAGTGTAAGCATGCAGCAGGCTCTGTGTGATCAGACTAAAGACTCTCAGCTTGCACACTTGAAAGATAAGCAAGGCACTGCGATACGTTATCACAAACAGCGAAATCAAATAAGACAGGACCCCTGCAGGAGTAGCTGCAGGCAGCGATCCAACACACAGCATACTAAAGGTAACCAAAACATACAAGGGTGCAATACACGTCATACCCCCCCCCCCCCCCCACCACACACGTATACAGATGGAATGTATGGATGAAACGTACACCACACAAAAAGATTGCCATTAGAGTCGCCAGAGATGACTTCATTGTCGGCGTTGAACGCAATACACGAGATGAACTTTGGCTTGGAGTGTTTCTGTACGCACACAAGATATAGATAGAATAGCAAATGAAGTTTAAAAGAAACAACGACATAGAAATAATACAGACATACACAAACACACATGCGCGCACGTGTAAACACACACACACACACACACACACACACTCTTACCCACATGTGACACTCACACTCTCACACACACACACACACACATACCTCAAACAGTGCCGACTTCTTGCTCAGTTTGCCATTCTCCAGTGTCCAGAAGAGCATGTGTTGCTTGCCGTAAGTCACAATGGCATTGTCGTCACCAGGGTTAAATGCACCACCAAGGACAGCATCACCATGTGACTACAATACAAACACAACAATGATCACAACAAGAACAGAAACGACTGTTAGCAATAAGTAATCCGGGGGGGGGGGGGGTACACAGCATGTTGAGCGATTCGTACACATTCACGCATGCGTCCTCAAGTACAGGTAGACATGCGCGCATGCAAGCACACTCCCTTCCCTCTCTCCCTCCCTCCCTCCCTCCCTCCCTCTCTCTCTCTCTCTCTCTCTCTCTCTCTCTCTCTCTCTCTCTCTCTCTCACACACACACACACACACACGTGCGGCACACTCGCACACACACAAACACACACAAACACACGTGCAGCGCACACGGGCACACGCAAACACACACACACACACACACACACACACACACACACACACACACACACACACACACACACCTTAGTTTCAGCCAACTTCTTGTTCTTCTGCCACTCCCAGACAGACAGCATGCGGTCATTGCTCTCATCAACTGCAAACAAGTATGCCCCATCATTCTGCAGTGGACAGCAACACACAGCAATGCATTTCCATCACAGAAGAACACAGCACGAATACATTTCAAATTCAAGTTTATTCAACAATGAGCGTGATGATGCTGCCTTGGCTTCATTTAACTCGTTTGACTGCATTGCAGAAAGTATTCAATGTCACACAGTCACAACAAAAGCAAGAAGAGATCAATGTGGCTGCTCTGCATTGCATGTTGTAGAGTTGATTCATGACAACGGACACCCTTCCTTCTTTCGATCCAGCAGGACATACGTGTGGCCCAAGTTGATACCCTACCACGGCGTCTCGAGAAACGACAAATCATGATCAAGTCAGCAACATCGTGTTAAATGTAGACACAGACAACTTGGGTTTAGAATTATCCCGGGCTGAGGATGCCTACAGAGTGGTCCCTTTTTTAATCCGGCACCATTCGTGTGACAAAAATTCTGCAAGATCATTAGGGAGGGTGGGGTGCTCTGATTTACTGTTGTTTTGTGCATGGGTGGGATATAGTGGTTGCTGGAAATCGTGCTGGTGTATCAAGGGTGCTGGTTTACAAAGTGCTGAGTTAACAAGGGGTGACTGCAAGATATGCCTCGGCCCAGGCACGCCGCTTACCTTCTGAGAGAAGCCAATCGCAGAGAATCCACGGTCGAATGATCCGGCGCCAATCACAGCCAGGGTCTCCAGTGTCTCCACGTTCCACACTCTCACGTGAGGCTACTCGGAGAAAAGGGAAACACAAACCGACAAGCACAGATGCAGACACGGACTTTAGCATACTAGTAGGCAAATGCAGGCATGATCCCTCACACATCTTAGACACGGACTACCAGAGGCGATAATAGCAATGCCGCAGTAGAAGCCAAGACAACATGTGCTAGGATTGCAACATGATTCTGCAGCTTGCGATACTGTGATGAGCTGACCACCGATATTATGCCTGGCCTAAAACTAACGGCAGTTGAAGTGCTCTTTCTAGCCAGTAATCTCTACTTTTCGGTCTTCCCCCTTTTCTCGCTTTCCCCGTCTTGTTCACACATACATATCACGCCACATACTACATAAACATATTGATCATAGCTATACCATCACATTCCATCCTGGAAAAACCTGAGAGGTGTTCAAGCACCTGTTGTGCCCCCCCCCCCCCCCCATGGATCCTCCCATGACAATTGTCGGGAACAGTGCCCACAACCTCTTCGAAAAATGGAAATTGACTGTACATGCCACAGCACTACACGTGACAAAATATTATTCAGACAAATACATCGACGGGTGCACACGTGCATGCACGCACACACATGCAACAACCCCTCCCCCGCCCATACACACACGCATGCACACACACACACGCGCTCATGCACACACACGCACACACACGGCGGACCACTACACCCAAGGCCACTGCAACACACATTGTTTTCCAGCAGATACGGCAGGCATGGCTTACCTTTCCCTCTTGTTTGTCATGCCCAGCAACTTGACCAGTGGCAGCAATGGTGTTATTCGGGTGCAACGCCATCCTATTCAACATTAACAACACAAGAATACAAAAATACAGTAAACAAGCGGCAACAACACAAGAAAGCCATCTTGTTCTTGTCGTATGACCGTATGTGGCAGCCATGTGGGTTCCAGCTCCAGCCAATCCCTGGATCGATAGATCACACGATGCCAGCCATTTCGGCTCAACTATCTATATGCCGAAGAGTTGGTGGACAAGCCGTTGATTATCCACTCTCATTGTAATATCAAAAAGTATTCTTTCTAGACCAACGAGTGGTATATTTGATAGCCTTCTTTATCCACTGACGATGTTGTTCAGAACAACGGAACGTCTGGAGAAGTATCGTTAATATTTCTATCTTTATTTATCAAATATACCACTCTTTGGTCTAGAAAGAATACTTTTTGATATCTCAAGCCATTTTCAGTTTCTACACATTTGCTGCTGACCTAAAGGGGCTGTTGCCTATTACTGGCCATAGGAACGGCGAAGTGGACGCCGATCCAGTCCTCACCGACTAGCTGCTATTGGCGATTTCAATGAAATGTGGCTCAGTTTGGCTGGCCAATAGCTGTCAGTGCGTGCTTTGCAGCGCGTACGCTAGCTATGTAATCCTATGGTTGACCGGGTTTGGCGCAGCCTGCCAGGGCTTGAAAGTCAGACACAAAAGTCTTTACTAAGTAGCCTGGAATGAGTAGAGGGGACGCAGGCCGGATTCAAAGTTCACGCGGGCATTGGCCATGGGAAGGAACAGCCTGTGTGTACAAGCGCAAGTTTTCAACACACTTCAACACAGCAGGACATCGCGAGTACAGGCGCAAGTTTTCAACACACTTCAGCACAGCAGTAGGACATCGCGAGTACCTGTTGCCCAGCATACTACCAGCGTAAACACCATACGTAATCAATGCCGGCGGTTAGATGCTGCACGGGAATTCGCTACAAAGCACGACATCACCATTTTATCAGCAAAACTTACGCCTTGATGTCATCATTGTGGCCCTGATAGTGTCGCTGCGACTGTGTGCTGGGATTGTAGATTACACCGACGGCTGCGATGAAGTAAAGCAGTTCACCGGATGGCAGGTAGAACAGGTTGTTGCGGCAGTCGCGACCGCGATAACCATATCTTCACAATCACACGTGCAAGTCAAGGAGACACTAACAAATTAGGGCTGCAGCGGGTAGGGGTTTGGTCGAGTAACGAGTTCGGGTACTTCTGTCTGGGTATCACGGGTTCCGTATCGGGTATTTTTTGACATACTTTGTCATGTCCAAGTGGATGTGTGTGCGTGTGTGTGCGCGTGTGTGCGTGTGCGTGTAACGTGAGGAAAGGGAGAGGGAGAGAGACCCCCCCCCCCCCCCTCTCCCACCCCACACACACATAGAAACGAGAGACAAACAAGAGGATACACCCATTGCAGCGCGATGTTCTCGCCGGGCGGCTTGGCCGGCTGGTCCAGCGTTCCCATGTCAAAACCGGTCGGTGCGTACAGAGTTACCGGCCGGCCGCGCAGGTACATGCGCATGCTGTGCTCATCGCGTGTCGTCGCCTGAGATTTCTCCTTAGTCGACCTGTTTGCAGAAACATCAATCGCACACAGACATGCATGTACTGCCTTGGACATTGAAATCCCACGGGATGACTAAAGCCGACGCCCTTACTGCTTTTAGCACGTACATGCACTGTATTTCGAGTACACATTGTAAAAAACGGACCAGCAGTGCTCGCAGCTGCAAGGCCAGAGCCCCGTGGCCGCTTGACTTCTCAACGGATTTCAATACGCGTGCCACAGTACACAAACACAGACATGTGTATGAACATGTATAATTATTCAGAACAAGACGACCATTGACCTAACTCAGTGCACACCGACGCTCAGTTGTGAAGTGGCAAACGCACAAGATGTGCCATGAACTAAAACCACTACGCACAAACGCTCCAGTGAACGAGTCCTCGCAGTCCATACAGGTTTTCCCGCAGACACTTCATCCTAGGCGTTTGCACATGTCGAGAACGGATGCAGCACCTAACGTTACCAGTAAATAGTAAGTGCTAGTGCTAGTGCTGCTCAATGAAATCCAGTCGGTGCACTCAAGTACGCGCCGGGCGTTGCACGGCCCAAGACCTGCGAACACTGGGCTTCGAAATGGTGCAAGGCGCAAGCTTGAGTGTCGCGACTGGATTTCATTGAGCAGCACTGTAGCTGTGTGTTCCAGCAACACTGCATATGCATAGCTGTAACATTGCGGAAGAAGATCGAAAGGTTACCAAAGATCGCGACACAAGACAAATATCTCAGCGGCTCAATTTCGTTCTATGCGAATATGTGCAGCCGTCCTGGCCGCGTGTCTACTATGGGGCAAACAAAAGCCTAGGAACATGAATATTTGGGTCCACATAGTGACAACCTTACTTGTCTTTGACAGAGGAGCGGTTTCTGGCACCGTCTTCACGTGGTGCCGCAGTGCCTGTGCGCCGCCCGACACCAATAGACATGCGTGAAGATCCGCCGGATGCCGCCGGCGGTTTGAAGTTAGTGGTACTGGCATTGCTACTAGCACTGCTGGTGCTTGGGGGCCTGCCACTGCCACTGGCTGCGGGAGCTGGAGAAACAGAGGGTGGTGGACGACGGTTCGAGGTCGTGGACGTCGTTCGGCCTGCCATCACACAGCAAGCGACACAGACACACAGACAGACAGACATACAGGCAGACACGCACAACCAAACACACACACACAAACATACACAGTTCACTTTCTATGCTGTGCAACGCACATACTCAGTCGCCAATAATTTGCATAGATGCGTAGAAAGCAGTCCCGGAAAATTCCAATGGCATTGAATGTCAAGAAGCGTTCTGAAGGAGTGCATGCTGAGTCCATGCCAGCTTCATGTTATCAAGACTCAAATCAGGCCGTGCTACCTCTGTTATCTAAATTTAGGCGCCGAGTCTCTACCGAAAATAAAGTTATACCAAAAATAACATGTTTTACCGTATTATATTGGGCAAGACCCAGGGTGGTACCAGTGGATATCTGCATGGACTGTGACAGCTGCAAGCGCCGATATCCAATGTGGTACAGCCAGCGGGCGAGTTCAAAAATCAAAATTGAATATTCCACTAATCGCATGCTAACCTTGCCTTCCTTGTTTGTGATTCCGTTTATCGCTATTCGAACTGTGGCGTGGTTGCTAGGGGTGCCGATATTTGATATCGGCATGCTCGCTCGAGCGGCGCATATAAAAAAAGTAACGTTCGCACGTCCGCGTTAACCCGCGCTACACCACCCTGTTGAGAAACACAACCAGCTAAGCGAGAATGTGATGTCCGGAAATACTTCATACTTGTCAGAGCTGTTTCTACATGGTCAGAGTCATGCGACGTTCATATGATTCCCGATACATGCATCTTGAATATCGGCGTGGCAAGCAAGGAAGTCCAAGTTAGTAGCTCAAAAGGCAATAAATGGAATAGAAACTACGGCTTACGGTTTGCATGCCATATATGGAATACTAAACTGGCTCATGGCCAGGTGATGCCATACTTGATGAACTGCAGGTACGAACGGTTGGCGCTGCTCACAGAGATATCCGCATCAACAACCTGGGTCTCGCTCAATATTCCATAGTTCTACATTTCATTGCATATCGACCAGCAGAGAAAACAAACCTTCACCTGGCGCCTTGGAAAAACGCGATTCCGCGGCCGCGGCAATTTTTGCAGAAATTAGGAGCCATCATCCACGGAAATCACGGAATCCACCCATAATTTTAACTGTGTCATGTCAAACAATAGCTTACGGGAGTCATATTTATAAATTCCGTCAATTCTGAAGAGAGAGCGGAATTTCTCTAATTCTGGCGCCAGAATTGCACACTCGGCGCGTGACCAGTCTGATCATGCATGACTCAAGCGGATGAAGAGCCTCCCTGGCCGGCGTGGCACGAAAGCAGGGCTACAACTGCATGTAGTTGCTACTTTTGTCTTCCCGAAAAGCTAATTGCCCCCCTCAGGGGCGTGCTCGGCCCCCCCAACTAGGGGGGTGCACGGGAGCCGAGGGGAGCCCCCCCCCCCCCGGCAATTTTCTGCAATTTGTTTGCAACCTTTCTTGAATTTTAGAGCATATTTGCATACATTACAATTGCCTTGGATCAGATTGAAAATTTTTGGGGGGTGCACGTGCCCCCCGTGCCCATCGCCGAGCACGCGCCTGCCCCTTGAGTTTCCGCTGGGAGCTGATTAGTAGTACATGTATTACCAGATCATTCTGGGTGGTCCTTTCGCACACGCATTCAGCTTTATCGAAGCCCAATACTGTTGCCGACATGGAGCCTTCACCGGGACGGACCGGTCTGCGATGCTGGGTCCACGTGGACACGAGGGTGTACGTGATCTCTTTTTACGACCAATTTTGTTTGTGACATGACATGAATAAAATGCGTTGTTAATCGTCCAGTTATCCGTTTACATGGCCGCAATCCGTACATTCTGGTCTTTCGAGAATTAAAAAACCCAGCTCCAGAAATTGTGTAAACGTGTAATCGAAAGCGCCCATTGTGTCATGTCAACTGAAATTTGTAGGTCACGCAAAGTCCAATTATAAAGACTTCTTTGCACTGTGCATACTCAGCAAATTCGGCACATTTAGCTTTCTCGTTCCATCTAAAATAACACCTGTTTCCGTGATTGCCGCTGAGATAGGAATCCCAATTACTCGACAAACCACAGCATGCATTTCGTAGCCAACCGCTGTTCGCGTCGCCTGCAGTACTGCCATTCTACGACACTGTTTATGTATGCCAGGAACCAGGAAGACGTACGTGGGCGAGCTATGGAGATTTGCGCGGGAATAAAATGCTGCAAATGGCAAATGGTTTGGACCATTTTCACCAGAAAAAATATTCCCGACATAACAGCAGCATATGCATGAAGTAACATCGTCCGAGGCAAATGCCCAAACTGATATGTACCTGAACCTCCAGACGGCTTAGCTGACTTCACCTCCTTCAGCTCGGCCTCGCACGCACCCAAACGATTCGAGAGATTGGCAACAGCATTTTGCAGGACTATATTCTCCGACTCTTTGCTCTCCAGGCGAGCCGAAAGGCTCGCCACCTGCTGGGCAAGGTCTTCCAGACTAATATCTGCCATATTGCCAGAACGGCAAAGAGCGTTGTCGTCTGTCTTTCAAACACCCCGCAAGAAGGTCACCACGGAAAATACTGTGATCCTTCCAGCTCGGTGACTGACACACAAAAAGTCTACTTTGGGCATTCCGCCTTCACCGACATACCGGTAGTCGTTCCCTTCTACGGTTCACAGCTGTAGCTAGCTACACACAACTCACAAGCTACAGACTGCAGGCTGTACACTGGCTTTGACTACAAAATGCATGTGTTTTGATTCACTCATGAATAACAACCTGCCATGGCCGGGCACGACACAAACTGACTGTCGATGTCTTTGTCAGTCGGGTGGTATATGGTGGCATGTCCTGTTGACACTACGGACAAGAGTAGATAAACATTTATCTACTCTTGCTACGGAGCATCAGCAAATCGATTTTTCGATTGAAATTCGAGAATCGTCACGAAAAGCACTCAATCAGTCGAAACTAGGGCTTTGTTCGACTGAAAAATGCCCGCAAAGAGAAAATACTTTTCGAATACTTTTCGAATGCTCCGCGCGTGCTCTTGTACACCATGTACACGGCGTACGAGCACTCATACTTGCGCATGTAGCTACTAGTACTAGTTCTTACTGTAGTCGTAGTACTACTAGTACTAGTTGTAAGTGCACATGCACAAGGCACAGTCGAACCGGACTTCTTGACGCTTTTTTCTTTCCTCTGTCTCGAACTGTGAAAAGGTTTGTCAAGTGTGCTTTTTGTTTCAATGAAACAAAAAGCACACTTGACAAACCTTTCATTTCAAGATCCTGGAATCGTGGCTTTTTTCACCAACTACCAGCCCCGCGGTATATGCCTCCTGCTCCCAGTAACCCTGCTGGTGTTGCCTCGGCATCTGCGTCTATGGTGAGTTCCCCGCAGGGAGAGGGCAACTCAAAGTGTGCCAAATATTTGAGGTTCGACCTCACCATGGATCTCATTCTGCTGAGGCAATGTTGGGCCCACCCTCAGCTATTCGTCCGCGGGTCTCCTGATATGCAAGGGCAGGGGATAGCGGAGGAGCTCGGCCGAGATCCGCCTTTTCAAGGGGTCTCCAAGAGAGATCCTATCGCCAATAGCCTGAGTCGGATGAAGCATCCGCCGCTTCGCGTCATCCTCAACGGCAATGAGAAACAGCAGCAACTCCGTTCTGTCCAGGTGACCTTCAGTGAACTCAAGGAAGAGAAGCGAATCCAACAAATCGACTTGCTCTGCAACAAACGCAGCCATTGCACATCTCAAAATCCCAGTCCTCAACTACTCAGGCTAGAGAACTCGATTCGAAAATACTGGAGTGCGCTACATGCTGAACCTCTTTTTCATTCGAATTTTCGGTCTGATTTTCTCTTTGCCATTCGAATAATCAAATCGAAAATTCGATTTGCTGATGCTCCGTACTAATGATTGTGTGTGTGTCTTGTACAAGAACTCAGTCAAGAAGTCACTAGCACTGGTCACACTCACAGACTGTGACAGTGCAGATAGCCACAACAAGATCGCCATCATGCATGTTGTTGATGACAGAGATGATCATCTACAAGGTCCCGGACTCCCGGTCCTCCGGACGACGAGATGTGTCTTTACCAAAAGTAAAATTAGCTCCCAGGCGCTAGGCCAGGCAGGGGCTTCTCTAGATGTTACTGTATTAAAGAGTAAAAAAATCTCCCAAGCTTATCTCTTGGCAAGAGCACAAAAGTAACCCCTCTTGCTCTTGGCTGTACTCACTGGCGCATGGCGAAGAACAAATCCAAACAGCAAACTGTTTTCCTGGACTGCAGACTTTCCTAGCCTGTGCAGTTTCAGTCACATTGGCCGGCCTTATAGTAGGCTAGCTACTGCCAGTAGATCTACTGGCCTACTCACTCACTCACACAAACACACCCACCACCACACTTCCACCTGCGTGCACCCACCCACCACCACACCCACACACATGCGTGCACCTGCACAGTGCATCATCTGCAACTGAGACAGAACATCAAAAGCCAGACGAGTCCAGGACAAGGAGGAAGAAACAGCCACAGCTCACAAGAGGTCGATAAGCAACAGATAAAGTAGACCAAGAGAAAAGCCTACAATACAACCCAGCAGAAGCCACAACACAGATGAACATGAACACACATATCCACATCAACCCGCAGACAGAAGACAGTGAGTGGGTGCGCGCCGGGACCAGCTGCACTATTCAGATGACTCCAAATAAATAAGAAACACGTAGAAATGGCATGCCACCAAATAATAATAATAATAGCAATGAGAACGCAGGCAAAGTGCAGAACCTGCCCAGAAAGACAAACAGTGGCAAGGCAGAGCGAAATGAGGTCCCCACAGGTCGCCGTGGACGTGGACAAGAACACACCAGAGTAGAGAATAATTTATTCCAGCTGAGATGCAGAGAGGAACTGGCAGAGGAGAGATGCCAGGTCACTAAAATAAATACTCTATGCCAGGACAAAGGCACTAAGAAGACGCACATGGTCTTCTGCAGAGTTGCTGCCAGCGGGCGACGGAACAGGTACACCGCGCGACAGACGAAACAGTACAGCACAGCGCACCCCTCGACACCAAGGTCACTCGACCGGTTGGGTCTGATGACGTCGTCCAGGCGAGAGTCAGACAGTGATGGCACGGGGATGACGGACAGGAGATGGACAGAGCAGCAGGGAGTGCACATGGCACACCCCTGCAAATGCGCTGAGCCTGTATCAGCCATGGACGACGGAGCGAACACTCTAGGCAGGACGAGAGCCTGCTCAATACTAGTACATGTACACAACACTATTGCACCACGTCACGGCGGTGGGCATGGACAGAGACTCCGGAGCGACCATGTTTCAATTACAGCTTCTTCATGACCTTGCCGCGTAGAGACTCCTTATAGGCCTGAATGCCACTTGTCCAGGGACGTATTGTCTGGTGCTCACACACCCAGATTTCCTTGGCCACCTGCAACAAACCAAGGAACACATGCAAAGAACAAGTATTACATGTAGGCACACCCACACCCACACCAGTTAGTAGTAATCAAAGGCACGGTAGAGAAACAGACATACGAGAAGCGAAGTAGAGAATTCTTTTTTTTAACTCTCTGACAAGTCCCACCCCACATTGAATCATTGATTCCACACTCCCTGACGGATGCACATTTCAAAGACACCGGGGAGGAATTAGCATCCATACCGGTCAATATGGAACACGCACATGCACATGGCAGACAGTGCATACTGTCACCACTGATAGATAGTATTAGTAAAAATCAGCACACAGCCTGACACAGCACACAGCGCATCACACACGCCACAGAAACGCTGCTCTCACCTGACTGATGAGTCGGAAGTCGTGGCTAACGAGGACCATGCCACCCTCAAAGTGGTTGATGGCGTCGGCGAGAGCGTCGATCGTCTCAATGTCAAGATGGTTGGTGGGTTCGTCCAGCAGCAACAGGTGAGGACTGTTCCAGGCGAGCCAGGCAAACACGACACGGCACCGCTGGCCATCAGACAGCTTACTCATGGCGCACATCTGAGCCAGCCAAGAAGAAGCAACCGTGCAGCACACAAACCAAAGACAACACACGTCACAAGAATTAGACAAGCATGAATGCTCCTGGTGGAGCCTAACCAACACCAGCTTTATTGTGACTACCCGTGGCGATGGATCGGCGAGCCTAGAGGAACTAGGGCCAAGTTATAGCTACATGCACATGCTTGGGAGCACAGAAGAGCAAGTCCTATGCACACCATGCAATGACAACCGACACGTTATGCGCTGGGCAAGTATCGTATACTAGTATAAGTCGCACCTTTTTACACAAAACTTCAAGGCCAAGGAAGCGAATGCGACATACAATCGAGTGTGACATCCTGCTTAGGTAAATATATTGAAACAATAATAATGGCTCCAAACTGAAAGTGGGGGTGCGACATATAACCGGGGAAATACGGTCCACATACACAATAGCCAGCCCCCCTGAAGGACAGTGCACACTCGTACCCCACAACAGCACTTCAACTACTCCACTTGCGAGCCCCCCCCCCCCCCCCCCCTCGGAGCCCCGAATGGCACCAGTACAGTACCTGCTGTTTGCCGGTGAGAGCGAAGCGGCCGATAGAGCGGCGCATGTCCTCAATTTCTTTCACATCCGGAAAGCACTTCATCATCCAGTCGACTGCAGACATGTCCAAGTCCAGCATGTCTTGCAAATGCTATCGGGTACAGCAGGACGGAATGGCAGAGTCAAAAAATTACCAACACCGATATTATCAAGCCTGGCGCACAGGAAGGCGGAAGCGGAATCTGGCCCCGGTGTTTGTGTGTGTGTGTGTGTGTACTGCACAAGGGCAATGCCAATACAAGGCAGTGCTGAGTGATTGCACCTAACACTGGAGTGCTTAAGACAGGATATTGTGATCACCATATCAACACTAGTAGACACCAGCATTACCAAGACACTGGCAAAGTTGCACTCCATTCCCCTGTCCACCCAACATTGACAAAAGAAGTGGTGCCAATAATGCCTTCATGGTATGCAAACGAAACGGAACGGGAAAGATTTTAGAGACAGTCCGTACCTGATGGAATCTGCGAATGCGCAAGTGTCCATGTCGGCGAATGATACCATCATTGGGCACAAGCTACAGCCACAAACAAACAAACACGTGAAAACAGATGTCTCTTAGAAGAGCATTATTCAAGGTAAATTTCTACAGCAGTGGTGTGACTCAAGCATAGTGGTCACTAGTATAGAGGTTAGGTGGATGACATCATGGACTACGCTTCGTATGGAGTGGCAAACCAGTGCTTGTACTGTCACCACAGACAAAACACACCAACGATGACGTAATCGCATAGCTTCTGCACATGCACTGGCACTCCATACAAAACACACACACCAAATGACGTTTTGTATGGAGTGCCAGTACATGTGCAGAAGCTATGACGTAATTGCATAACTTTGGTAGTGGCACTCCATACTGATACAAAACACACCAAATGAAGACATACTGGTAATTACAAAATCAGCGAAGGGCACGGAGAGGATGTAATGAACATGCCTAAGTTCTGTTTCTTGGATACAGGGACACGGTCTGCCTTTGCACACACACACGCACACACACACAGTAGCATGCAATACTGCCAGAAGACCAGCAGCAGGTCATCATCAACTACACGGTAGCATGCATACCTCTCCGTCAAGCAGCTTGAGCAAAGTGGACTTTCCAGCCCCATTCGGCCCCACCAGGGCAATACGAGTGTCCAAATCGATACCAAACTCCAGGTCCTTGTAGAGCCATGGCTGCACAGTGAAGACATCGGTAAGAGCGGGTTGGGAAAACTTAATGCCAGCATTAGAGAATTCTATACGATACAGAGAAATACTGCTGTGCACATTCATATCTGGCTCAGGCTCATGAAGCATCACGCATGATCTATTCATAGAATAGTCTCAGGTTTCAGTATCAGTCATCTGATGATTGCAGTAGCATGAAACTTTGAGTTATGATGAATCCAAGCTGGCCCTCTTTCTCTTTCTCATTTGGTTCAGACTGAGTAAAGTCATACAATTGATGGAGTACAGCTATACAGAAGGCATAACTGCAATGCACTGCAACACAATTTGCCATTCCAACACACACACACATACACATACACACACACACACACAAGACACATCGTCACGATCAGGTGATGCTGGGCCAGCAGCAATGGTGCTATCTTGTTCCCAGCATGGGCAGCACACACAGCGGGATCTCACCTTGTCATCACCGTATCTGAAGTGGACGTTCTGTACCATGACAACTGGGGGAGGAAGCTTGCCACAGTCGGGGAATGCAAATGTGAACAACCTACGCACAGGATAGGATAAGCAGGCAATCAGGTGAACAAACAGTCACACGATACCTAACGGGGAGTGAACTGACAAGGCAAGAAATCACCACGGCAGGGCATGCAGACCAGCCTTGTGGGACTACGAACAGTTGATCTATGTACATGATTGCACCATCTCAGAAACACCTCCGTCCACTCAGGAATATGGAGTACAAAAAACAAAGACGCATCATTCGTATCATTACAGTAAGTGGCTGGAGGTGACGCTTTGCACCTGACTAAGATGGGATGAAGCAGGACACAAAAACTCAATTAGTAAGAGAACAACTCGCATCAAAGGCAACAGAGGAGAAGAATGAGAGAGAGAGAGAGAGAGAGAGAGAGAGAGAGAGAGATAGAGAGAGAGAGGACAGTAGACTACTTACTTGTCTGTAGCGACCTTCTCTGTCAGGCCACCTTCAACCATCTTCTTCAGCGTCTTCTCCTTACTCTGAGCCTGACGGGCCAGTTTGGCACTTCCGTGACCGAATCGGGCAATGTAGTCCTGCAGAATACACACCATGTACACACCATGTACACACACACATACGAACAACAGCACGGTCAAACAAAACGCCGGCAAGAATAATTGAGCAATAACATCAGTACATGTACAAGGCGGTGGTTGCTGCACACGCATCGTCTGCGCAACCTCACGGCCATACGGCCATATGTGAGCAAGCAGATCTGTCTTACCTTCATGTGGCTAATCTGGTCTTGTTCCCATTGGTACTGCTTCATCTGGTTTTCCTCCAACTCAGAGCGGGTCTTGACATACGAATCGTAGTTTCCCTATATGCAGAATTCAAAACAATAATACAATACAAGCTCAATACAAATGTCGTGGAAAGCCTCCCTCAGTCATATCCTAGCAGATATTCTCCAAATCTAAAGCTGACGGATGCAAGAGAGAGAGAGAGAGAGAGAGAGAGAGAGAGAGAGAGAGAGAGAGAGAGAGAGAGAGAGAGAGAGAGAGAGAGAGAGAGAGAGAGAGAGAGCTCAAGAAGAGAGCGCTAGGGCTCTGGAGAGAAAAAAGCTCCAGAGAAAGAGAGAAACAGAGGGAGAGAGCTCTGGAGAAAGTTCTTGATGGGTAGCAAAAGGAATTGTCCTTACACCATAGAATTTAAGCTTCTGATTGTGACAGTGGATGATGTTGGTGCACACACCATTGAGGAAATCTTGCGAGTGAGAGACGAGCACGAGAATTCGCCGATACCTACACACCATGGCACAGCAACAAAGCAAATTATTAATGTACTCTGAAGGAATACCAGCAAAGAGAACAGCGTTGTTACAGCACTTGCACAAGAGTACACATCCAACAAATCTTCATGGAAACAGCTAGCAAAGCGTAGATCATCTCCACCCCAGTTTGGCCCCAACAAGAGACATCCACACAAGAAAAGGGAAATGAAAGCACATGGGTTTCACAACTATTCTAAAATAACTTCGCCACGAAACTTGACACATGCAACAGGGAACTAGCCAGTACTGGCCTAAGCTGATTATGTGCCCATGGAGTCCAAGCCCAAGCATCTAATCAGGATTCTTCCTCGGTAGGACACTATGTTCAGCGCATACATAGAGATGGGCAGCGCAAAATCCTGGCTACGACCCAGGATAGCCATCAGCACATCACATCAATAGGAGTACATATACAACACACATCATACTGCTTGTATACCCACACGCTGGATAGGCATCGGACTGCAGGAGCACACGGAAAACTAAGTAGGAACAATGCTTACGTTTTCAGCTCCTCCTCGAGCCACACGCACGCCTCCAGATCCAGATGGTTAGTCGGTTCGTCCAACAACAGTATGTGTGGCTTCACGAACAGAGCACGGGCAAGTCCGATTCGCATCCGCCAACCTCCGGAGAAGTCTCTGGTTGCCGTCGTTTGCATGGCTCGCGTAAACCCAAGACCATATAGGATGTGTGCAGCCTTTTAGGACAACACACACGTACACAACATGTCATGGTTAACACCTTTTGATGGCATTTCTACAATCTTCTCACCTGTAGCAGGTTAAGACAGCACACCTGCAACTATAGCTTGTGGTGATATGTATAACATTGTGTGATTGTGTGTGTGTGTGTGTGTGTGTGTGTGTGTGTGTGTGTGTGTGTATGTATGTGCGCGCACGCGTGTGTGTGTGGTGTGTGTGGTTTCCAAGATCCCTTTTGAATCTCTCTCTCCTTCAGGGGAGACTCGAATGACCAGTCATGGCAGTGATGAGTTGCGTACAAGTACAAGTGTATGTGTGTGTGTGTGTGTGAGTGCCATCAGCATGTGCGGCACGTGTTGTCAGCGCCTTCTAGGTTCAGTGTGTGTGATGCGTTGCGTACAAGCACTGCCCACGAACCCACTAAATTCTGCATGAAATAAAAACTGGAGGACGGTAAAAATCCGGTCAGCTTCAGCATCATTTCAATATCATTGTAATGATGGCAGCGCGCACGAGCACAACACTAATAGGGGATCAGAGTTGCACACCCTCGGAGTTGTGGACCCACCATACTACACATGGAAGACCCACAGTCTGCAGACTGCAATGCTTTGCCCGTTTTGGTCTGTAAGAGAACTACTCGTTGACACCAAACGTATAGAAAGGGTCAAGCTGGTGTCAGTGATCACCAGTGTTCAAAGACCATAATAAGTTGGTTCCATGGGTAGTTGCTGAAATCAGATTTTGCCTAAAGTCATTAGATGATTGCAATGGTCATGCAATGTTTCAATCACAGCAGATGAAATGAAAACAGGAATGGGCCATGAACAAACACTCTACACTACTCGATTCCAGCCACGTGGTGATCACCAGCAAGAGAAAATGAAGCGAACGGGACGACTTCAACACTCACATACCTACGCGTACACACAAACATGAGAGAGAAGAGGGAGGGAACATACCACACACCGGCGGACAAAATGGAGGTATTTTCATTATTGCATCTCAACGGCAGCCGTACCTTTGCCTCGGCAGTAGAAGCATCCATTTCGTCCAGGCGTTCGTACAGGTCCATCAGGCGATCACTCTCGCCGTCACCGGAATCAATGCACTCTTGCACCTCAACCTCAAGACGGGCCCGCTCAGAGTCAACCTAGACACAGTCACAGATGAGCACACCAACACATGCACACAACACAAACCCTGGGTGATCACAAGCTCTGGAACACATTGGCTAGCCGAATAACACTGGGCAAATTTAAACAGCTAAACAC